AGCTACAAAAAGCAGAGATAAAACAGTGAATCCACAAATGTCAAATATGCATTCACATAGCGACATCTCGAAAATTGGCGTCCGACATGGATGGAAAGTTGTTCAATATGTCAGTACAGAAGAGAGATCTCTTAATGTTCTGGACAAATTCTTTTTTAATTAATTTCTGTGGCTGGCCAGTCCAGTAATCTTTTTCAAAGTACACCTATATTAGATCACAGATTGTATTATTTCTAATAATGTATTGCCCGTATGTTTGACATTTGTATTTGGGGGCTTATCTCTGTCTTTTGTATGTGTCAATATGGGCTATCACTGTAGACTGTTTTTTTCTTCTTTTTCTGGTTACGTTGTGCCAAAATAATATTGCATTTTATTACATGGACTTGGAGCCTGTCTAGATTGCTGTGAGCATGGAGGGCAAGCAATTTCCCACAATTCCTCCCTCCTGTGAAAGCACACCAATAAATGCTGCTCTGGGAAGATAGGGACCCCCAGGAATAGCTTGGGAAGATCTCCCTGTAGGAGGAGGAGATAGGCGAAAATCATCCCACCTCCCTGGGTTCACAGAAATCTAGGCAGGATTCAAACCACTTACTCGTAACACTGTGTCTGGGCCAGTGGTGCTCTGTATTGTTGGTGCTTGGGGGGGGGCAACAGTGGGAGGGCTTCTGGAGCTCTGGCCCTGCTGGTGGACCTCCTGATGGCACATGAGTTTTGGCCACCATGTGTGTGACATGGACTGGATGGGCCACTGGCCTGATCCAAATGGCTTCTCTTATGTTCTTAGTAAGATTATATTACTACAATGCACTCTACATGAGGGTGCCATTGAAAAGTACTTGGAAACTTCAGTTGGCACAGAACACTACAGCCAGGATGTTGCTTGGAGCGGGTCATATTAGTCCAGTCTTAGCCCATCCACACTGGTTCCAGTTTGCTTCCATTCAAGGTGCTGGTGTGGACCTTTAAAGCCCAGCATACCCGAAGGAGTATCTACTCCTGTACGAACCTACCTGATGGCTAAGGTCATCTTTGGGTGCCACCACCTTCTGAGATTAAGCAGGTTACAATCAGAGAGAGGACCTTCTCTGCAGTGGCGCCCAAACTATGGGACTCTTTTGCCAGGGATACTTGTTGGTCCCCTTCTGTCACTATCTTCCACCAGTGGGTAAAGGCTTTTTTTTGTTTCATCTGGTGTTCCCTCAGTGAACCCCCCCTCTTGCCTTTAAATACCATTTTATGTTTTTTTAATGTATATTTTTAGTTTGGTTTTTATAACGTTTTCGCTGTTACCCACCTTGGTGGCCCTGAGCAGGCAGAGGAGTGGTATATGCATTTTGTAAATAAAATGAATGGTATGATTTTTTACTGTTCAGTATGTGTTTACCTGAGAGTGGATTTCTTGTGCTTCAGATACCATTGGAAACAGCTCGTTGTCTTACCACCTTGATGTTGTCCTCCCTGCTCCACCACGTCTGTGGTGTTTACTGGCAGGGCAACTGTAATATTCCCCCCCCCTCCCCAATTAATGATGAGTTGAGACGTTCTAGATCAGGGGTGTAGAACTCATTTGTTATGAGGGCCGGATCTGACATAAATGAGACCTGATTGGGCCGGGCCATGGGTGTCATAAAAGGTAATGCCAGGTAGCAGAGATATAAACTTTATAAAGGACACAAACACGAAGGGATTTTTAAAAACTTAAAATAAAAGCATGCTTAAAACATTCGCACTCTTGCAATATTTTGTTTATTTAACAGTGTCTGATAACCGACACCTCTTGCTCTGAATTATTGCATCAAAATGTCTGTGCTGTTGCAATCTTGAGTATGCTGTTCAGGTGTGTATCTGTAAGCTGCAAACCTACGATGATGCAGCAGCAGCAGAACTGGAAGAAGAAGCAGAAGACAGCCAGTTCCACTGCGAGCCTGATAGAAGCCCCCTGGGGGCCTGATCAGGCCCCTGGGCTGCATGTTTGACACCCCTGTTCTAGATGATACAATGGTAAGATGGGGTGCTTGCTCTTGGGCTGCAGGCTGCTCCCCATAGTGAGCATAGTTTGCAGACCAGCTCTTTGTTTGGCACAGTGCAGTACTTATGAACTTATTTGAGAGGGATGACACCTGTAAGTAAGGGGACACCCCTTGTAAATACTCTAAGGATACTCAAGAATGTGGCACAGTTTGAGAACAAGAGCTTGAGATAAGGACCCTAATATTGTTTTTCATGATCAGAAATCCTAGCATGAGAGTCAGTATGCTGTTGGAAGTTCCAGATCAACAGGGTGTTCTCCATGTTTGAATTTGTTCGGCTTCAGTTCTTTGCACGGGTGAATAACTACAAGGTTAAAATGAGTTCTGGTGGTATTTGAAAATAGGTAATTTAACTCTGAGACCCACCCAGATTTGTTAGGCTGGTGAAGAACAATTAAGTGTTCAAGGTGAGGATTATAATGTGAACGTGAGGAGAGAGCGGTGGGCTGAAAATGGTATCACGTTTTAAAAATTTGTGGACGTGAAGAAACATGCCTTTTTAAAGCGTAGCAAATAATGTTAGCAGTTACTTCTTAAAACACGGAACTGCAGCTATAGCCTTATCACTTTTTCCCAACAGAGTGACTGTATTCCAACGTGGCACTGTGAGGCTCGAATTGCATTTTGGTGGGATTCATTTTAGTTGGATCGTAACGTTTAAAGGAGCTGCGGTGGCTCAAGTGGTTAAGACGCTGAACTGCAGGCTGTGGAAGGTCGGTAGTTCAGCAGTTCGAGACCCGGGTGTGCCGCATGATGGAGTGAGCTCCCGTCTCTAGTTCCAGCTCCTGCCAACCTAGCAGTTCAAAAGCAAGAAATTGCAAGTAGATAAATAGGGACCACTTCGCTGGGAAGGTAACAGCATTCCGTGCGCCTTGGTGTTTAGTCGTACCGGCCACATGACCACGGAAATGTCTTTGGACAGCGCTGGCTCTTCGGCTTGGAAACGGAGATGAGCACCGCAACCTTAGAGTCGGATTCGACTGGCTTTCGAGCAAGGGAACCTTTACCTTTAACCTTGTTTAACATTAGATCTTCCTGCTTAAAAAGAACATTACAAATACTATTTTTTATGAAGCTGAGTATAAACTGAGGCACACAAGATTTGTGTGTTAGTCGTTGAGTGGATTACTAGCAAGGCCATGAATTCAGTTGATGGTAGCAGAATCTGTGAGGATCTTACGCCGAACAAAATGGAACTTCATAAGTGTAAAACTGAAGCTGTGTGTCAAGTAGTATGCACCCCTCCTCCACAGGCATACTCAGAATTGAGTTGCTCCGGGGAGAAAACAAAAAAACTCTGATGCAGTGTGAGGATGTGTTATAAAAGGAAGGGGAAATGAAGAAGTGTGTGCAAGCCTTTGTGCACGCCTCAGGGGGCTTCTTGGTCCTGCATTGGGCAGAGGGATGGACTAGATGGTCTATATGGCCCTTTCCAACGATGATTCTGTGATTGTAGATATATCTGACGAAGGGAGCTTTGACTCTCGGAAGCTCATATCCTGAATATCTTGTTGGTCTCTAAGGTGCTACTGGACTCTAATCTAGCTCTTCTCCTGTGGACCAACACGACTACCCTCTGAGACCTAGTCCATATTACTCCAATGCAAGCGCATAGCCTTCTGAGTGCAAAACTGTTATCTTACTCTTTGCCGTATAGCAGACGCAGATGGATTTGGAGTTATGGATTGGACAGAGTGTGAGACAGGAGGGCTTTATCGCTGTAGCACAGTATACAATGATCCCAGGCCAGATGTTTTCCATTATTGTGCAGTGTGGCTGTATGGTCGCTTTCTGGAGAAAGCTAAACTTTTTAGAATTGCAGCTCAGTGGGCACGCTGTTGTTCATAGACTCTTAGTGTTGTGACATTCAACCCCACCCCACCCCCCTTTTCAGATCCGCCAGTGCTCGGCGTTTGTACGGTTATGTCTCCCCATGCGTGACCTCATACAGCACAGTAGAGAGAGATTGACTGAAATAGCACCTTTGTTAGGATGGTAAGCAGTGCTCCCTCTAAGGTGTGGAGTCTTGTGAGCAAAAATTCTACTTTGTGAGCTACTGGCATTAAAGTTGTGCATACACAGGTTTGCTCTGCTGCATACACAGGTTTGCTCTGGAGCCATCCTTCCTGAGCGAAGACAAAAATATGTGAGCCGGAGGGTAATAAACTGTGAGCTAGCTCACACTAACTCAGCTTAGAGGGAACACTGGTGGTAGGGCTGTAGTGGAGCCTAATTTGTGTGATCATAGAAGATTTCTATGATGTATAGATACACTGATTACATCCTGCACATGACACCAGGAGATTCACTTCTGCAAACAAGAATGCGCCCTAATCATGTGTAAAGCGGAACGTGGGGTTAAGTGCTGCTGAATATTCTCTCCCCTACTGCTTTTCTCTTTTTGGGCTTGCTTCCACTATTAGGGCCTGGCTGGGAGAAAACGACCTCCGAATAGGATGTGGGGGAAGAGGCGTTTTGAAACACTCCCTATCCTACTTTGCACATAATTGGGGAAGACATGAGTATTCCACAGTCATTTGGTGTTTGGCCTGTGGTGATGGTAGAGAGGTTTCTAGAATGCTTTGAATATGCATGCAGTGCCAAAGGACGTGGGCTTGACAGCAGGGCAGCAAATCATATAAGCACCACTAGACTGGTGGTTCACGTTCGCTGTCAGTTTCCTCACAGCAGACTTGTTGTGCATTTAAAATAATGAGGCTGCCATTTCTAAATGCAGCCTCTATTGTGTGCAGAGATTTGAACTCAGTTAAACAGCAATGGAGGAGGAGGAGCAAGAAGCTTCAAGTGGTTCAGTTCAAATGAAAATGGCATGCCCTCCATCAAATTACATGCTTGAGATCGACTGTGCGGTGTTTCTGTTATTAAGTATTGTAAATTCAATACTTAGGAACAAAATGCAGAATAGAGATCATGCTTTAATTTGTTATGTGTATTTTTTTTTAGGTAAAGTTTGGAAACACTACATTTAAGACAGATGTGTATCCCAAATCTCTCAATCCTCAGTGGAACTCTGAATGGTTTAAATTTGAGGTAAGTGTGGCAAAAAGTGAAGAGCCCCATAGTATACTTAAGATTGTTTGCAATCAATGCTCCCTCTAAGCTGTGGAGTCTTGTGAGCAAATAATTCTACTTTGTGAGCTACTGGCATTTGGCATTAAAGTTGTGAGTGGGCAGTTTGGCAGCTGAATAAATGAGTTTGCTCTGGAGCCAGCCTTCCCTGAGCTAAGATAAAAATGTGTGCACCGGAGGCTAAAAAACTGTGAGCCAGCTCACACTACCTCAGCTTAGAGGGTACATTGTTTGCAATACACAAAAACAATGTAAAGCCACATTGAATAACAGCAGTATAATAAAAGCATCAGTACTGAAGCACTGTTGCAATTTGTTTTTATGATTTTAACTTGTTTTTACTGTCTTAATGTTTTTATGATGCCAGTGGCCTTGTAAGCTGCCCTGAGCCTGCTTTGGTGGGGAGGGCGGGGTATAAATTGAATGAATAAAAACCCAAAGTAATAAAGCGACAACACCCCAAAATAAACACCCTCTACCACCAAAGATTTGGGGTAAACAGGTTAGATTTTGCCCAGTACCTAAAGTTTTACTAAGATGTTGCCAGGCCAAAATCCAGGTGTGTGGGTGTGTGGGGGTGTTACTTAACTGGAGTGCAACCACAGAAAAAGGCCCCGTCTCTAGGAAATGCCTACCTCACTTTTATTTATTTATTTATTTTTTATTTTATTGTATTTATACCCCGCCTCCCCGCGAATGGGCTCAGGGCAGCTCACATAGGGCACTAAGTGCATACAAAATACAAAATTACATAATACAAAAATACAGATTTTAAAACAGATTAAAATCAATTCTACGGATGCACATATAAACTCCTAACATCTTGCGTAGCAGGGGGAAGGCTGGGGTAATAGGAAGATGTTCCCCAGCCCCCCAGCGGTCTCTCTCTATATAGGAGCGGTGGTGTAAGTGGCCGTGGCGGCTCCTACTCATAAGCCTGGCGGAAGAGCTCCGTCTTGCAGGCCCTGTGGAACTGCACAAGGTCCCGCAGGGCCCTGATCTCTCCGGGAGCTCATTCCACCAGGTAGCTGCTACTGAGAAAGACCTGGCCCTTGTTGCCACAAGCTTGGCCTCCTTAGGGCCTGGGGTCACCAGCCGGTGTTGTGACCCCGACCGAAGTGCTCTTTGGGGAATATATGGGGAAATGTGGTCCCTCAGGTAGGTCGGACCCTGGCCATGTAGGGCTTTAAAGGTAAGCACCAGCACTTTGAAGCGAATCCTGTATGCTATAGGCAGCCAGTGCAGTGCTTTCAGCACAGGTTGGGTGTGCTCCCAGCCCGAGACGCCCACCAACAACCTGGCCGCAGCATTCTGCACCAGCTGTAGCTTCCGGATCTGCGACAAAGGCAGCCCCATGTAGAGAGCGTTACAGTAGTCTAGTCTCGAGGTGACCATTGTGTCAAATATGCCTTATTGGGGACTGATGTAGAATGCTGAGAGTATTTAATTGAGACCTAACTACATCTTGTTGTTTACCACAAATAACTTGAAAATTGGTCTTGTGCATCTGTATCTCTGAAAAAACATCATTCTACAGTGGTTCTACTATAAACTGCCTCATTTTGGAACAAGAGCTACAGCTGACTTCTCATGGTATCCAGACAAAGGGTTCTGATGATATCTGCTGGTGGTCAGATTTATATGGGAGAAAGTACTTTTTCGAAATACCTGATCTGGACCCATGAACTTCAAGCAGAAGGCACTCCTGGATCTTTCCTGCCTCCCCCAGCACCTCCTGGTGACCCCTAGAAAGTAGATTGTAAGGTTGGAGAAGTCTTGGGGATAAAATACTGTGCCACATTGATGGGCTGCTGTGAGGAGAGGAAAATGAGTGAAATTGTTCTTCCTCCCTTTACTGTGTTGTGTTTTCTGTGCCAGCAGTAGAGAAAGGTGGGGCAACTTTATCCAGTCCCACCTCTTCATGGCAGTCTGCTGTGCCACACACCGTTCTCCATGAGGTCCCCCCAGCTCTCAGCATAATCTTTTCAGGGACTGTAGGGGAGGGTTGCTTCAGGGCAGGAAGGACCTGCAAGCCTTCTCACACTTGTAGTTTGTGGGATCCAGGCTGCTGGTCTTGGAATGCTTAAGGCTTTGAAGAGCAATGCCAGCACTTTGAATTGTGCTTGGAAACAATTGGTCTTAGAATACCAGAGAGCAGTACTTACTGCCCCATGCCTCTGTTAATAACCTTGGTCACTGTGTTCTGGACCAGATGGTTTTGCAGTCAGAATGTGTGATGCTCATGCTTCTTGGTCTTCATTTGGCCACCCTCTGCTGTCTCGGATGGGTGAGGTGGGTTGGGTGGGGTCCAGGCTGGGCACCAGCCGTGGACAGAATGTTTTCTAGTGATATCTATAGAATACAGTTTCCAATATAGTGCGACTTATTTTTCCAAATGACAGAAAGGCATTTAAAATTGATAGTTTACTGTTGTTAATAAGGGAATCTGGAATACATAATTGCACTGTCATGAGGCTTCATAAAAGGATACAGATGAAATGGAATTACTTGGCTGTAGTTCTCTACGTGTGTGTGTTTTTAAGTGTAGCGACTTGGAAATAATAATAATAATAATATCTTTCGATTTATTAATCGCTCAAACACATCTTAACAAGGGACTAACAATGATTCATAGGGGGTAAGGGAGGACAACATATAAATCTTTTTAAGTCGCACACGTTTGCAGCTGCCGGGGTTTTTGTTCAGCTGTAGACTTGGACGTGTTCCAGACGGCATTCACTCGGCTTGGCTTGATTACGTCAGTTTTTCCAGGACTGCTTCGAGTTGCTGCGTCGCACTGCCACCGCCTGGCTGGATTGGCCCATCGCAGGCTTCTTAATGCCGAAGAGATCTTTCCAGGCTTACGAGCTGGACATTCCATTTCGCCGGCTAACACCTCCCCCCACCGGGGGGGTTTAGTGTGCCCACCCTCTCTAAGGAGTGGTACCCATTTTATCTACTCGCCGAAGCTTTCGAACCGCTTAGTGGACGGCGAGCTGGGGACAAGGCTGGTAGCTCACACCAGCGTAGGCCAGAACTGACAGCAGTTCTGTTCAGTTCAGATGTTACTGTAACCAGAGGATAAACCAGTGGAAGCAAGGCAGTGGGCAGAATCTCTGCTGTGTGGAACAGTTGCAACACAAAAAAGGAACAAAACAGGAATGTATTTGGATGTTGCAGCAAGCCAACATTAAGCCAGGATGTGTGTACAAATGTGGTTTGTTGCTGGGTTGAGGTGAGCCCATTGCTTCTCCCTCCTCAGTCATCCCTTCTCTCACACAAAATCCCAGTTAGGAACTAGTTTCATTTTTTGTCTCTCTCCCCCTCTCCCTCCCTCCCTCTCTCATGCACGCACGCACACACACACTGTTTCTCTCTCAGTTTGGTGAGAGCCAGTTTGGTGTTGTGGTTAGGAGCATGGACTCTGATCTGAGAGAACTGGGTTTGATTCCCCACTCCTCCATATGCAGCCAGCTGAGTGACCTTGGCACAGTCACAGTTCTCTCAGAGCTCTCTCAGCCCCACCTACCTCACAGAGTGACTGTTGTGGGGAGGGGAAGGGAAAGGGATTGTAAGCCGCTCTGAGACTCCTTCGGATAGTGATGGGCAGGATATAAATCCAATCTCCTCTCCTCCTCCCTCCTCTCCTCCCAGCCAGTGTGGTATAGTGGTTAAGTGTGTGGACTCTAATCTGGGAGAACCAGATTTGATTCCCTACTCCTCCACTTGCACCTGCTGGATGACCTTGGGCAAGCCATAGTTCTGTCAGAGATGTTCTTGGAAAAGAGCAGTTTCTGTCAGAGCTCTCTCAACCCCACCTACCTCACAGGGTGTCTGTTGTGGGGAGGGGAAGGGAAAGGAGTTTGTAAGCCTCTCTGAGACTCCTTTAGGTAGTGAAGGGCAGGGTATAAATCCAATCTCCTCCTCTTCCTCCTCCTCCTCTCACACACTCAAACGGGATTCTGGACCAGGAGAACCCCAGCTTGGGGAGGGAAGAATGGCCTTTGGTTAATTTGCGCCTCTGTACTCACGTGCCATGTGTAATCAGAGCTAGTGTCTAACCACGGTTCTCTGTGTGAAAAGGAAGGTGTGAGGCATGCACATGATTCTAACAACAGGCCTGCCTTAATGGCAGCTGTCACAGCTTCTGAATGCAGCCTTGGAGATAAGACTAAAGGAAGGTTTTTAAAAGATCCTGCTTAGTTGGATGTTGAAGCACCACAGCACATTTTTATTTTTTTTTAGGTGGACGATGAAGATCTGCAAGATGAGCCTCTACAAATAACTGTCCTGGATCACGATACCTACAGTGCTAATGATGCCATTGGAAAAGTTTACATTGATATTGACCCTTTGCTATACAGTGAAGCAGCTACAGTCATCTCTGGATGGTTTCCGATTTATGATACAATACACGGTAAGTTTTGTTACTGTTTTAAAATACATTTAAGCTTTTTTTTCGGGTAGCTTTTGCGGCTGAAATATATAGGTTGTTTTGATATAGAAGCATAGCTGCTTCTAGTCTGGTATTTAAATGTTGTGATTTGTGAGGCTTCTCCCGCTGCGACTCCACCATTCTGTCCCCTATACCAAGGGAAGCTCCCTAAGCCTTAGAATAGGAGGGGAGAGGATTGCATCACCTGGCTCCCCCCCCCCCGCTGGTTGTGCTCAGCCCTTAGTGCTTCACCTGGGCCACCACCTTTCCTCCCTGGCCTGATCTTGGAGCCTCCCTTTCAAAAGCAGTCATCCCACCTCTCTCCAGGCGGGCCTCTCCAACCCCTTCTTTTCCTATCCTTCCTGGGGGTGGCTCAGCCCTTTCAGCCATGCAGAATTCAGCCATCCATCTCCCCATGTCCTGCAACCAATGGCCACCCCCTGGTGTTTGATGGGATGCCCACCTCTCCACTCTCCCTGCCTGAGCCCAGCCCCCCCCCCCAAGCTGGCCACTTGGTCTGTCCTGGCCAGATGGGGGAGGGGTGTAACCACTGGCCTTCAATCCTGGGCTGTGGAGTCCTGTGCTAGTAGGGCTCTTTGGGGCCTGTTTGTAGCCAGCACTGCTTCTGTGGTGCTGGCTGATGATGTCGCCAGCCTCTCTTGGCCGGGACATTGTTGCTCTGTGTTCCATTGCTGCTGCATCTGCGCCACTCTCTGGCAGCGTCGGTTTCTCTGGGTAAAAATTCTGCTTGCCTCCTTGTTGCCCCATGCTCTTGGCGGTGGCTGAAGGAGGGGCTTTGAAGAGCAATGGCTTGGTCTTACCTCAGGGAGTCGATGGCCCGTGTCCAGAGATACATTGAGTTTCAGCTTGATGCCAGCGCAGGACATGGTTATAAAGGAAATATAAATTCTCAAGAGAGCACATTTCATAGCTGCATAGTTTCCGCTTGCCAACGTTTATAGCACTGATATGTCTCCAGTAATATTCCAGGATGAATAAAAGTTCAGGAAGAACTTTGCTAGAATAGCATAAATGAAACTTCAGGCACAAATGAAAAAATTATGTGCCAAAAATTTTGTGTGGTTTCCCCTCAAAGATAGTCCTGAAAATGATCTCTGAAGTGGTATTGAAAAGGATCTTTTTTTGCTCCCCACCTTTCCAAAGCAGTTTCTTAAAACAACAACAAGAAGTTATGTGCCATTTGTCTGTGTAGCAAAACAGACTTAAGCTCCAGAATGGCCTATACTCTTCCAATGAATACAGCACAGGACATGGGGTCATTAAGGCTGTTGTCCCGCAGCTGACTTCCTGATGAACGTGTTAACTCTTGACTCATGTTTCATGGGCTGGTGAGAGAATGTAAGTGAAGCAGTGGGTTTTATATGTCATTGGACCTCATGCCTGCAGTTAGGGAACAATTTTGGAGACATCCTACGCCTGTAGACAAATTTAGTTCTGTTCTGAGCGTGTCCTCCGGCCTTTCCCCTGTTCCAGATTCAATGGTGTGTGTTTTGTTTCTCCCTAAGACAGTATATCCCCAGATGTTTTAATCATCAGCTTTCAAAGCACTGATTTAGTAAAAATGCTATACTGTGCATTGTGTTCCGGTCAGTAACTTAAGACAGTGTTTTAAAAGGATTAGATAGATCCATCAGCAGCTATTCACTGTGCTAGCTAAATGATCAAGATCGGCAGATGCGGAGTATCTTGTTGCTTAATCACTCTCATGGTTTGTATCTTAAGTGTCTCAAAGCTGTTTCTTCCCTAGACCTTAATATTCGATTTCTCATCATTGCATATTAAGTCCTGTTGTGATTGGTGTGCCACTCCTGATCTCATCTGAGTATAAGAACTGTCTTGCTGGAGTAGGTCATTCAGTCCAGCGATGTGTCTTCAATGGCAGCCAGGCAGACAATGCCCCTTGGAAGTGCACAGTGTTCTTTTGTCAATATATTTTCATAGCCTTTCATTCGTTTGTGTGTGTGTGTGTGTGCTTTTGGTTGTGTGCTTATCCTATCCTCAGTTTGAGGACTTAGAGCATACGACACCTTTAGCGCCATCCTAAGCAGCATTACACCCTTCGAAGCCCGTTAACTTCAGTAGGGTTGTGACTCTGTTTAGGATCGTGCTGCAAAGAGATGTCGTGAACTGGCTGTTTCTCAGATCCAGCTGGATCTGTGAGTGTTCAGGACAAAGTTGAATAATATGGTAGGATTGGTATTGCATGGAAAAAAGGCTTCTGAAATTACTGGAATCCATTTAATTGATTCCCATATTTGGCCTGGTAAAGTACTGGCAAAACACGCCAGGGTTATGAATACAGATCGCTAGGTCAGGAAGTTTTGAAAAACTGAAGTTGGGGAGCTGATCAGAGTATCGAGTCCAACTCCGCAAGTACCTTTTGACTAAAATAATCCTTTTTAATATGAGTTGTGTGGGGTTGGGTGTGGATTGTGATTTTTATCATGTATGTTTTAAATTGTTAGCCACCTTAGTGGCCCTTGTAAAAGCAGAAAGGCTAGATACCAATTTTGTAAATAAATAAAAATAAAATTATCGTTGCAGTGTCTCCGGTTGTCACAATCCCAGCAAGGTATTCTGATTGGCAAGTTCTAAAAGATACAAAAACAAGCAGTACAGCACACAGTAGGAAATAGCAAAGAAAAACAGAAAACAACTGTGAGCTGAATTTCTCGCAAAAATTTATATACGAAAGGAGACTTCAACAAAGTGAAATGCACATGTAGTCTGGAATGAATCTATTCATGCAATCCCTCATAGGAAAATACAGAAGCCAACAAGATCCATAACAGGAAAATACAGAGTCCAAAGTCTAAGTATACAAGATAAATATTCAACACTTTTCCTAGGTAATTTTCAGTGTTTCAGACTTCTGGTCCTTCCTCAGGAACAAAGAATAACTATTGGGAGTCTCATTCCATTTCCTTATAGGATAAAGCTATTCTGTTTCTTCAACATTGGGCAAGGTCTCCTAAACTCTAGTCAGCAGCTATAAAAGCTGCTTCTATGTAACAGGACCAAAACATAGCTCACAGTTGTTTTCTGTTTTTCTTTGCAAATTCTAAAAGATCAAATGATTGCATAGGAATTTTTATGTTCCTTTTGCTGCACAAGTTCTCCCACTCATCCGTTTTTCCTCTTCCATACACAGGTATACGTGGAGAGATCAACGTGGTAGTGAAAGTGGATCTCTTTAACGATTTAAACCGTTTTAGACAGTCATCGTGTGGAGTGAAATTTTTTTGCAGTGAGTCTAAAAATAGTTTCTGGAATCTCTTTACATATTTTAATACGTGAAAATGAAAAAGCTGTGTATCAAATATCTGTGAAACACAAAGGAAAATGTCTTATGTGACTTAATTAAAAATCTTGTTTGACTAGTGGGGTCTCTTAAGAGGGTTATTGGGATTAGGAGTTGGTTTATGCGTAATGGTGAACTGATCCGGCTATTAGTGCTTGCCCACTGGGTTTGCATGCTTGCCTCTGTCTTCCTTCTCATGTACAGGGATTCCCTCCCTCATATCCTCATTAATGGTAAACCGTGGTTTGCTGTTGCATCTAAACTAGATGCAGTTGACTGTGTTTTGCCTGCAAACCATTTTTGGAAAGCATGGTTTGCACAAGCCTGTGTGACTGTATTCAGATGGCGTCAGCAAACCACTTGGAAGTGGTTGGGTTTCCATGCATGTGCAAGTTTCGACCCCATATCAGTTGTTTGGATTGGTACATCCATTCTTTCTTGTGAGCTATCTTGAAATTGAGGACTTCTGGTTTAAACTACTCAAAACCTGTTGTGATTTGTGAACTGGGTAAATTGCAACTTGTTACTTGTATCTAAACAAATATTCTAAACCGCCTGATGAGATAGCACAGCACATTGTGGCTAGTTCATTCTTGGTGTGAAGGGAAAGTGGGGTAGGAATTTTATGAGCCAAAAGACTTCCTGGCTTGTTCTTGTCACAAGGTGTGGTGTGTCTGTGGCTCCAGAATGCTGCCATTGTTTGACTGGTTTGGACGTAAAAGCGAGCTGATTTCTCAGAAAATAGAAGCATAGGAGAGAATCTGAATTTCAGGCTTGTTCATGTAACCAACAAATTTGTTTGGCGTTGCTTCTGAACACAGCCTTTTTTTGTTTGTTTGTTTCACCAGCCTTTTGAGCAGTGTGGATTATTCTACTTCTCATCTTTGTGCTGCTTTTTGATATGTATTAAAACTGTCTGCAGCCCAAGAGGGGTTTTGAGTGATATGGCAAACTGTTTTAAGCACTAGGGCAACTCTTCAAAAGCAGTTTGTCATCTGGCACAAGCAGGTCTTCTGTTACAGAAAAAGTAAATAAAAAATCCTCCAGGGTAGGCCTAAATCAGCACTTTGGATCCTGGCTACTGATCTGTTTGGGTTTTCAAGGGGCAAAATATCCAAGTTCGGGTTTCAAGGAGCAAGATTGGGTAAAATATCCAGTTAGAACTTTAAAAGCGTTGTCTTTAGAATGTATTGTCTCTAGACTTCTGTTTCATACACTTTATGTTTTAACAGCTACATCCATTCCAAAGTGCTACAGAGCTGTAATCATTCAAGGTTTTGTGGAAGAGCTGGTGGTGAATGAAGACCCAGAGTATCAGTGGATAGACCGAATTCGCACACCGAGAGCATCGAATGAGGCCAGACAGAGGCTTATTTCATTAATGTCAGGTAATCACAAGTTAGTTACTACTATAAAGAAATGCCTTTAGGGTTGTGTGGGTGAGACTGTGCGCAAGATGGAGTGTGTACACACTAACAGACGTTTCATTTTAAATGTGTTACTTCTGTTAAAAATTGTTATTCAGGCTTATTAAATGTGTACAGTTTCTTTAAGCAGATTAAACATATTGCGGGGCCTCCCTGGAATCATGAGCCCCAGTAAAATGTGTTTCTGTTTCCCCATCCTGGCTATAGTATTAGTTACATCCTGTGAATGAATTAGAAATACCATAAAAGACCAGTATGGTGTAATGTGCTTGGCTGCAATATAAAAAAAAACAGCAGCGTAGTGGAAAGCATTTTCATGCAGAGCTAACAGTTGCCAGTGGAGAATCCACATTAATGGCAACAGGTAAGCATTTAGTTGTTAAAGTGTAAGCCTAACAACAATTTGCAAATAGATTTAGTATCTGCTGTTCGCCGTGGTGATTTCTATGCTGTTCTGAAACTGCAGCTCATACAAAACAAAAAAACCAGCCACGTAGCCTTTAGAAGGTTGGAATTTCAAAGGTCATTTTGGATTGCTGAACTATATGAAAGTCCTTCTACAAAACAATACAGTTAGGCACTAGGATGTGTGAAGAATTGGACTCAGCTGTTTGTGTAATGATGAAGCAGCTGGGAGCTAATTCAGCCTGCGATCATATAGTATGAACAATTGTGCTGTTTCGAAAGGTTGTAGGTTTAGTATTTCGCAGTGTACAGTGAAACTGTTCTTCCATGCTTTGTGTAGTCTTTCCTGTGCCTTAAGATGAAATTTTAAAAAATAATAATTTACATAGATAGGAATGATTTTGGAAGTCTGAGCTCCTTTCTTCTCCCCACTTATTCCCTGCTTGTCAGTATATTATTCAATTAAAATCACTTTGCATGCCCACTTGATCTTGATTATGGTATACAGCAGGCATGTCCAACTTCGAACAGGTAGTGATCTATTTTTTCCGGCCAAAATTGCCGGTGATCTACCACCATGAAAATAAAGTTTCAAATTAGTTTCAAATTAGATCTTAACCCACTGAAGTTGCGTTCCAACCCCCCACCCCAAACCACACATGCAGTTCTAAAAGTAAAAATAAAAATTCATCATACTGGCACTAATAACCAAATACCACCAAACAATCATCAAAGAAACCCCAAACACCTGTCCAGCAAACCAGGAGACCAAGTGGGGCTGGTGATCTACCTCTGACCCCTCCGTGATCTACTGGTAGATCGTGATCTACCTGTTGGACATACCTGGTATACAGAGTTGGTACTTCTAATTCTGGGTGTTTTTTTAATGAATTGGATTAGTACAGTTCACTGGAGGAAGAGAATGTGAACGGTCTTGATTCTACGCATATTTACGCCGAACTGGTCCCACAGCCATGGGTGGTGGGTTTGCTACCCGCACTTCCTGACAGGCTGGCATTGCTGGTGCTGTGTGAGCCTTTCGAGCCTTTCACCATCTTCACCTGCTGCAGGAGGCCAGCAATGAGTGGGGTGGGAGGCCAGGGCAGCTCAGTGCTGCCCCCCCCCCAAAAAAGTGCAGTTACCTCATGGCCAAGACCATCTTGGATATAGTTTTTTAAATGTAACGCTACAGGTTCTGTGTGTTTCTGTTTTCAGTGTGTCTATGTAAATCTTCCAGTATAAATCTGCAATACCAACAAAATTAATTCTTCCACAGAGAACATTAGGCTTTACAAGTCTGCAGGTGCTGTGATGTGTTTAGTGCCTTTATCTTTATAGTCCCACGGTGCTTTTCTGTTGTTGGAACAGTTCCCTAGAGATTCCTTGTTGTTTGGTTTTCAACACATAGTTTAAAAAAACCAAACTGGCAGTGACTGTATCATGTTTATATCTCTATCTACAGAGAGGGTTTTCCCTCTTCTTCCGGTTATTTAGCTGTTTTGGTGCGGACAAAATTGTGGTTATTAACATTGGCTTAAACATAAAAAAGGACATTTACGTTGGGTAGCATTAAAGTTTTGTCCTGTTTTAGAGAATCTTTGTGTGTTATGTTTTCATTAATGCAAAAATAGCAGTGCAGAGCCCATTAGATGCTTCAAAGATCATGGTGTTTTTCCTTGTTTGTGCTGCTGCATGTGCTGATAGAGCACATCAGCAACAAGGCTTCCACATGGCAGATCTCTCTGCATTGTTCCTGCCCTAGTCCCTTGTGGCAGCCATCCGCCCCCATACCATTAAGGTTTTATAGTCAGTAACTGACATATTGTTATAACATTATAACAATCTGTTTGCCAAGTCCTCTGAATTCCTAGCTTTCAAAGCCGCGAAGAGTGGGTTCTACTCCGCCACAGTTGCGTCTGCTAGCTCACACCCGGCACCATTGTTTAGAACAATTCGGTCATTAACAGAGCTGCCCCAGGGCAGGCCAAATACTAGGGAATTGGATATCGGCTGTGAGGCCTTTGCGAGCTACTCTGCAGATAAAGTCTTGCTGCTCCGCCGTGATCTCCCTGCCACAGTTGAGACAGTGAGCGACCTCGAGGCCCCATGCGCGTCTTCTAGTTCTATTCTGGATTATTTCAGTCCACTCAGCCTTGAGGAAGTTGACAGATTGCTCTCAACGGTAGCGCCCAACCACGTGCAGTCTTGACCCTGCCCTTCATGGCTCATAAAAGCTGGCTGTGAAGGGTTGCAAGGTGCCCTCAGGGATATTATCAACAAGTCCTTTGCAGAGGGGCTGTTCCCAGGGGCACTCAAGGAAGCGATGGTCCGCCCTCTCCTGAAAAAAACGTCCTTGGACCCGGTCAAATTGGCCAACTATCGGCCAGTTTCCAATTTGCCCTATTTGGGCAAATTACTGGAGAGAGTGGCGGCGATTCAGTTGCAGAGCTTTATGGATGATACTTCCATGCAGTCCGGCTTCCGGCCAGGCCATGGGACGGA